CGTTCAAATTCATTCATAACAAAATTGAAAAAAGTGAAGGGGGTCTGAATACTTTCCGAATGCACTGTATATGTTACCTCTGAGTGATGTAGCACTTAGGTTTAGAACAAGTTATACATTAAAAAAATTGACAATAATGCTTTGGAACACTGAAGAACATATGAAAAAGATCCTTACTCTTGATGTGTACAGTGCTTCAGAAAAATTAACAAAAAAATTATGCTTTTCTTAAATCACTCTGGGCTCTATTTTCATCCTTTACAGCAATATTTTCAGAGATTATAAGAGGCCTAATACAAAGAATTTATGGAGGGTAACTTTCATACACAATTTAGTGAACCTTGAATTTTCATTTCACTGGACAGGAGGTTAAACTTTCTATTTTCAGCAAGGGAATTAGAAATATGATTCCAAGCAAAAAATGAAACTGGGTTTGCATCATATTTTATGAACAGGGAAAATACGACTGGACTATTGAAACACTTAGATGCACTTAACAGTGCAATGAAAAGTATTTTTTGCTCCTGTTAAGAACTATATAAAGTTATTTCAATGGTGAGAACGCTGTAGGAAGCAGGAGGCTGTTCTGCTGTGATTCCAGGAATTGAACACTTTCTCGAACTAGAAATAAATTACACAGGCAATTAAAAGGTAATAATGGTATTTGAATTTTTTTTTTCAAAGAAAGAATAGGGAAAAGGGAAAAGGAGAAAAATCTTTTACTTACCAGCTGCTACTATCCGAGGATCCTCATGGGCATAGTGTCTCCCAGCTGCCCGACTATCTGGGCTCTCATTCCACCAAAGCACATGAACTACAAAGACAGAAAACTACAACTCAGAAAGAATATGAATAGGGAATACATTAAATAAAACATGTTTTGCTGAACAATCTCCATTCAGAAAGTCATGCCTATCCATTGTTATGGATACCACTAGTTTATGTTATATATAAAAGAAATCCTTTCACTTCACACATCGCTGGAACATCATTGATGGTCATGGCAAACATACATACTATAAGCATCAGATATTTGTATTTACAACACTATTATAATAGTTCTCATCTATCCAATAATTAAATTAAATTATTGGATGGATTAAATAATTAATTAAATTAAATTATTAAATCCAATAATTAAATTATTGGATGGATTAAATTATTAAATCTAATCAAATGTTTAAATCTTAACATTAGTTGTGGTGATGAACCAATGAACAGAGCAAATCAGAACCTATGCTTGTCAAAGAAGGGAAGCTGCAGCTTCTGTCTTAATTCCTAATGCTTTTACCACTCAGTGCTCAAAGTCTGGGCATGGAATAAAACAGAATTTCCTTTAAAAGGCAAAGAAACTGATTATTCTTCTACAAAAGAGTAAAAGAGACTAGCCTGAATTTCTACCACAATCTAACAAACACCATAACTCAGTTATGCTGCTTGTTAACCATTTCATATTCTGTGTGGGAGATGCCAATCAGGTTGGTGCTTCTGATTATTGAGACGTAAATATGAACTATGGCCAGCAAGAATCCAGTTACAGGTAGTCCTCATTTACTGAATGGCTTGTTTAGCAACTGTTCAAAGTTATGATGGTTGGAAAAAAAAAAAAAAACAGCTTTGTGACCAATCCTCACATTTACAGCCATCGCAGTGTCCTGCAGTCACAAGATCACCATTTGCAAGCTTTACAACCGGCTTCCAACAAGCAGAGTTAATGGAGAAGGCAGAAGTGAAATCTTAAGTCAGTGATGCCTTGCTTAATGATTGTGTGATCACTTAATGATCACGTGATGCCTTGCTTAATGACTGTGATGATTCACTTAATGACAGAAGCGGAAGTGGTGTGGTAAGTCAGCAGAATCATGTGATTTTTTGCTTAGCAACCACAGAACTTAGCAATGGATTTGCCGGTCCCAGTTGTGGTCAGTAAATGAGGACTACCTGTAGTGTAACCCCCTATAGGTAAATTTTCCTCTGAGTCAAGCTTGATTCCAGGCAGCTTTGTAAGCACATCCATCCAGATTTTTTGGCAACAGTATGCCTTCTTTAATGGTATTCTTCAATTTCCAAGAGTAGCCTACAGCCCTGGGATTCCCTAGCAGTCTCCCATCCAAATACGAAGCATGCCAGATCTTGCTTAGCTTTAAGCCCAGACAAGATCAGTCATGTGCTATCATGTATTAAAGGCTATGTTTCCTTACTCTTTACATAAAAGGTAATAGCCCAAGGTTGTACTGAAAGGTATAAGCCATCATACCTCGGTTAAGTAGTCCATATTCAGTATGAAAGACACCAATTAGTTTAATGTATCCACTGTTTATGTGGGCTTTAATTGCAGCTTTAAAGGACTGTCCCCATACTGCTGGTCCACCAGGTTTCATCTGGAAGGTAACCAACTCATAGACTCCTAGAGGGGGAAAGGCAGAAGCACCACAAGAAACAGATTCAGAACTTGTAATGTCCTCCCAATATATTATGTGCATATTTTGGAAATGGGTGCGGATTTTGAACAAGAATGGAATTCAGTATTGAGAATATCTGAAGTTTTCATTTTTTAAATCTCTAGTCCTTGCTAAAATGGGACAGCTGAAAAATTGTGAAAAGTTTGGATATAATTAAACAAGAAAATAATATTGTTGGAAGAAATACATGGAAATCTAAATACCACACTGTTGATGTGGTGGTTTTCCAGCTCAAGAAACTTATCTCTGATCTATTTGCCCACTTAGGAATTTTAGCATGCCTGTCAGAAAACCTCTATACACTGTAAAAAATTTTGGAATGTGCTCTAAAGCAGTATTTCTCAACCTCAGCCACTTTAAGCTGTGTGGGCTTCAACTCCCAGAATTCCCAGCTGGCTGGGGAATTCTGGGAGATGAAGTCCACACAGCTTAAAGTTGCTGAGGTTGAGAAACACTGCTCTAAAGTGTGATTATATATTGTACTTGCCAGATGTGCAAATATACCTTTTTCCTTCATGAACTGAAATGATATTTGAAGCTGCACAATAATAAACAGTGATAGCCATGAGCACACAAATTCGGTAGCTGTGATTACTGGGCTTCTAAATATTCTTAAAAGTGGCCACAAACAATTACTATAATTAAACAGCCGCCGTGCGATTGACTTTAAGCCAAAAGTTTATTCACTACATGACAGAACTGCATTGGAGAAAAAACCAGAGTCTACACATTTACAAATGTCAAAATACTCAGTGTCTCAATTAAATGAACGTTAAATGATATAATAGTACTAAAGCAAAGCAAAAATGTACCATCTTTTTCAGAGCTGCCAAGTTTACACCAGGGGACTAGGTAGGTAATCTCATTCTCTTGTTTGTCTAACAAGGGCAGCATATGAGAGATGTACTTTTCCTGCCATTCTTGATCTTTGGTTAATGCTGCACGGACAGCAGTCCTCTGCGCAAAGTTGTCTACAAAGAAAGAAAGGCATAGTAAGATTGGATATCCAGATTTAGCCATCTAGTTTGTCAGTTGGGTTTCTTCGGAATACCAAGCCTATAGCTCCTTCCTAGTCATTCCTTCTTATTCAGCCATTTTTTAGTTTTAAGATTGTATTAACAATCATTGTTTGTTATATTCTCATGACAGATTTATGCTGATTTTTATATTCATTCTTAGCCTAGAGCCTAACATTGGTTTTTAGCCTTTTAAAGCAACATAATATATTCAGTTATTTAAGCTAACTAATGATATACAGTAATACCTCGGTTCATGAACGCTTCTGTTCGTGAACAATTCGGTTCGCGAACAGCAGCGTTCGCAATATTTGCTTCCATTTGCGAACTCCGCATCGGGTGACGAACACAACCCACGGCCATCTTCCCTGCTCTGACATGTGGTCGTGGCTTCCTCTAGGCGAGATCACAGTCGCAGACAGACACTTGCTGTGAAGCTTTTTGGTGTCGCTTCAAGCAAGGTTAGTGTTCTCTTTCTTCATAC